TCATGGTTCCTAGGACCGAGCGCCATATCAGGCTCTGTGCTGACAGCACAGGGCCTGCTTGGGATTCTCTCTCCCCCGCCTTCATGTGCTCTCTAAATAAATAAACAAACATTAACATTTTTTAAATAAAATAAATACTGAGAATGAACTAACATCATCTCTAAAGTATTAGTTTTGCAATTTCATATCTACAAAGTATACAAAACTCCTAATCTATTCCTCCTGGACTATCCTTTCCTCCAAGGACTAATATACTTAAAGCACAGCCACTCAAGTGTCTTTCTGTCATTTCAAACTTTGTGATTTAAAGAGCACAACACAGTCATCATTTTTACCACCCACTGACTCCCCCTCTTCAAGTTCCCCATTTTCTTGCAGCTTTGGAATTAGTACTGACTTTCCCTTCTCCTTTTAAGCTCTAGTCACTAATGCTCATTAATTCTTCCCTTCAGAGACGGGTTGATTCATTGTTTCCCTGCTTACATTGTCATTACTTTCATTTGGACCTATATTGCCTCAGGCCCGGATTGCTGGGAGAGTCTCTCTCCCATTCTGTAGACTATTGCCAAATTAATTACTAATTTTTGTGCAATCTACTATCAACTGAATCTGGTTAACCTTCTGACCTGGTTTCAGGATTTTCTCCAGCTTAGGCTTGTATCTTTCCTTTATATTATAGGATGTTCCAACTTTCCAAATAGTGTGTCTGCTATATGAGAGTTAGAAAAGCTAAGTATCACTAGTGGCTTTATGAATTATATGCTCTCCGTATTCTGATCTCTTTGGTTCCTGGATCTGACTGCTTTAGTTCTGATGTTGTTTTGGTGCCTGGTCTGACTGTTATTTCCATTTTCCTTTTGATACTGAAATTAGTATGTTATATTACTGCCTAGCAGTAATATGGTTCTTGTTTTTAAGGTTGAGTTTAGCCATCCACTTAAGAGGTATGACTTTTATTCAGAACAAACTCTTTAAGCTGGCATTTGTGATTTTCCTTCAATTGGAACGCTTATCTATGGCAGATTCCTTGTATATTTTTTATTTTTTACTTTCATTTTTGAGAGATGGGGGGAAGAGGCAGAGAGAAAGGGGGACAGAGGATCTGGAGCAGGCTCTGTCATATTTTAAAATATTTATTTTTGAGGGGAGTAGGGGCAAAGAGAGAGGGGGACAGAGGGTCTGAAGCAGGCTCTGCAATGACAGCAGAGAGCCCAGCACAGGGTTTGAACTCACAAACTGTGAGATCATGACCTGAGAGGAAACTGGCCACCTAACAGACTGAGCCACTCAGGATCCCCCTTGTATATTTTTTAAGTGCACCTGTCCAGTGCTACCATGTTGCACAACTCTAAGCAGAATCATTCATGTTATGAATCATGTCATGTTGATGGTTTCCCATGTTACAACATACTATAGTTTGTGTTTCATGTTCTCTTATCCCAACCTATTGCATCCATTCTTTCTCCACAGTTGTGGCTCCTACATGCCCACCTGTCATCTGGGCCCCACCCCAATTTCTAGAACCAGTCTTGGCCAGAAATGAGAAGTTTAATAGTTCTGTGTTGCCTGAAGTATAATTAGTCCTGTGTTATCACTGTGTTCTTCAGTTTTATTTATTTATTTATTTATTTATTTATTTATTTATTTTTTAAATATTTTTATTTATTTCTAGGAGAGAGAGAGACAGCGTGAGCAGGGGAGGTTCAGAGAGAGAGGGAGTCACAGACTGAAAGAGGCTCCAGGCTCTGAGCTGGCAGTCAGCACAGAGCCCGACACGGGGCTCGAACCCACGAACCGCGAGACCATGACCTAAGCGAAAGTCGGATGCTTAACTGACTAAGCCACCCAGGCGCCCCTCTTCAGTTTTATTACATGAGCTTCTTTCCAAGACGTGGGTCCTAGTTCTAGTACCTTGTGTTCTGTTTTGCTTTGGTAACATGCCTAGGACTTAAGTCCTACAGGGAAGCTCTCACTACTTGAATTAAAAAAAAATTTTTTTAAGTTTATTCATCTATTTTGAGAGAGATAGACAGGAGTGGGGGAGAGACAGAGAGTGGGAGAGAGACAGAGAATCCCAAGCAGACTGCCACCAATGCAGAGTATGATTCAGGGCTCAAACTCATGAACCATGAGATCATCACCTGAGCCAAAGCTGGATGTTTAATTGACTAAGCCACCCAGGTGCCCCTCACACTACTTCATATTAAAACTCCCTCATGCCGAATCAAGAGCAAAAATGAACTACTGGGACCTCAGCAAGATAAAAAGCTTCTGCACAGCAAAGGAAACAATCCATAAAACTAATAGGCAACTGACAGAATGGGAAAAGATAGTTGCAAATGACATATCAGATAAAGGGCTAGTATCCAAAATCTATAAGGAACTCATCAACCTCCACACCCAAAAAACAAATATTCCAGTGAAGAAATGGGCAGAAGACATGAACAGACACTTCTCCAAAGAGGACATCCAGATGGCCAACAGACACATGAAACGATACTCAGTGTCCCTCCTCATCAGGGAAATACAAATCAAAACCACACTGAGATACCACCTCATGCCAGTCAGAGTGGCTAAAATGAATAAATCAGGAGACTCTGGACACTGGTGAGGATGTGGAGAAATGGGCACCCTCCTACACTGTTGGTAGGAATGTGAGCTTGTGCAACCCCTCTGGAAAACAGTGTGGAGGTTCCTCAAAAAATTAACAATAGAACTCCCCTATGACCCAGCAGTAGCACTGCTAGGAATTTACCCAAGGGATATTAGGAGTGCTGATGCGTAGGGGCACATGGACGCCAGTGTTCACAGCAGCACTCTCAGCAGTAGCGAAAACATGGAAAGAGCCTAAGTGTCCATCAACTGACAAATGGATCAAGAAGATGGGGTTTATCTATACAATGGAATACTACATGGCAGTGAGAAAGAATGAAATCTGGCCATGTGTAGCAACATGGATGGAACTAGAGGGTGTTATGCTGAGCGAAATAAGTCAGGCAGAGAAGGACAAACATATGGTTATGTTTGCACATATAGGTGGATTAGGAGGAAGTTAACAGAGGACGATGCAGGAGAAGAAGGGGAAAAATAGTTGGGGAGAGGGAGGGAGGCAAACCATGAGAGACTCTTGAATGTTGAGAACAAACTGAGGGCTGAAGAGGGTGGGGGAGAGGGGAAGGGAGTGATGGGCATGGAGGATGTTGTTGGGATGAGCACTGGGTATTATATGTAAACCAACTTGACAATAAACTATTTAAGAAAAAAAATAAAAAAATAAAAAATAAAACTCCCTCATGCCAACTACTTACTAAAATGCCTGCTAACTGTTGCTCATTGCCATATACTTGGGTTACTAAATGGCATACTGGACTCGACCTATAGCCTGGCCTGTCCCATCTAGTACCACCACTATCCCAGTAGAAAGGTCTAATTACATCTTGTGACCACTTCTCTACCTTTCCCACCATGCTGTTCACTATGCTAGCAATATGTATCTCAAAATGAAAGGGTATTAAAGCTTATTTAAAATGTGATGCTCCAGAGATGCCTGGCTGGCTCCAGTCGGTAGAGCATGCAACTCTTGGTCTTGGAGTTGGAGTCCCATAGTGAGCATACAGAGTATTTTAAATAAATAAATAGGTAGGGGTGCCTGGGTAGCTTAGTTGGTTAAGGTCATGATCTTATAGTTTATGGGTTCAAGCCCCACATTGGGCCCCATGCTGACAGAACTGGAGTTGGCTTGGGATTCTTTCTCTCTTTCTCTGTCCCTCCTCCACTCATGCTCTCTTTTTCTCAAAAAAACCCAAACATTAAAAAGAACATAAAAATAGGGGCACCTGGGTGGCTCAGTTGGTTGAGTGCCCGGCTTCGGCTCAGGTCATGATCTCGTGGTTTGTGGGGTAGGACCCCGCTTTGGGCTTGTGCTGACAGCTAGCTCAGAGCCTGGAGCCTGTCTTCAGATTCTGTATCTCCATCTCTCTGACACTCCCCTACTCTCTCTCTCTCAAAAATAAATAAAACATTAAAAAATTTAAAAAATATATATAAAAATAGGGGTACCGGGGAGGTCCAGTCGGTTAAGTGTCCAACTTCGACTCAGGTCATGATCTCACAGTTTGTGAGTTTGGGCCCTATGTCGGGCTCTGTGCTGACAGCTCAGAGCCTGGAGCCTGCTTCAGATTCTGTGTCTCCCTCTCTCTCTGCCTCTCCCCAGCTCACACTCTGTCTCTCTTTCTCAAAAATAAAATAAACATTAAAAAAGAATAAAATAAATAAATAATAATAAACAGGTAGGTAGGTAGATAGGCAGATAAATAAATAAATAAATAAATAGTGACACTTCAGTCAGAAAAGCAGTATTGAGATGTTATTGTGAATACCTACTATCTTATTATAGAGACTATATACTTATATTAAGTGAATTAAGGTCACCTTGACTATAAAATTAGGAAACTTTTTTTTTAAGTTTTAAAGTAAACTCTATCCCCAACATTGGGCTTGAACTCATAACCCCCAGATCAAGAGTCATATGCTCTACCAAATGAGCCAGCCTGGTGCCCCCAAATTAGCAAACTTTTAAAACATGACTTTGTAAACATCCTTCCCATATTAGGTACTTTATCTTCTACTGGTTGACACAAAATAATTTCAGGTGCTCTGAATCATAACAAAGCAAAATTCAGAATGAAAAAATAACAAAAAGAATCATATCTAAACAATCAAAATGATCCCTAGCAACAATAACCATAAATTATAGTAAGTGAAAGTAAAAATGATATATTGGATTACCTCCCCAAGTTATTGTTCAAATGCCAAGAAGCAACTTTTTACCATAGAGTGTTTCCATATTTTCTTTTATTTTCCTTACTCTAGAGATAAAGAGCAGGTGTGTATACTCACATTATCAGTTCATCACTTCATTAAATAGGTTCTGGAGAACGTATAAAATCTATGAAGCATATTTGGAATTACAACTGCAAAAAAGCAATGAAGAACCCTTATTTTGTTCTTGTAAAATTTTATTCCAGATTAAACAAAAAAGCAAAATGTTATTTATCATCCAGAGATAGATGGGAGTATAATCATCCTTCATAGCTGCTAGCTGGCAAACTCCAAATGACAGATGTAATCTAGGTAAAAGACCCTCATTATTCCAGATTATATTTACCTCCCAAAGAGATCATGAAAATTAGTCAAAAATATTAGAAACAGATTTACATGAAGTCATATCAGAAAAGCTGAGAAAGTGATGCCTAATGCTTTGAGAAATTGTTTCCACTTAGTATTCAGAAGACTAAATCCTTAAAGGTTAGGGACAGATGGGTTATACCTTAAGGATTAAAACAGTGATGTGTATTTTCATCAGTTTTATAGGATTATTAAGATTCAAGATGTTATTTAAAATCTAGATGTAGGATCAAACAGTCATTGCCAAAAATGGAAAATTTACATTTCTTTAGAGGAAACATAAATATGTGACTATGTGGATCTTGTCTTAATTTACATTTGATAATTCCCATTTTAAATGTTATGGAAAAGAAAGGACATGGTAGCACTGCTACGCTGAACAAGATTCCAAGATTCCATTAACAACAGCAACCAAGAAATTTTATAGTCTACAGTTTTTATTTCTGATCAGGTAAAAAGTTTCAGTTCTTTCTTGAGTTTGCCTTCTGTTAACAATGTATAGCTTGTCAGATAACTACATCACTGATTTCTAAGCTCTCCTTTACTGTATTTTCTTTCCTCTTTCATCAAGATGTACCTGGAAATAACAAGACGACTCAGAATAGCTGTAGTGGCCTTCAGTAATTTTGCTTTACTAATTAGGTTGATCTTATTCCAGTGAAGGCTAATGTCAAATTTATCCAATAGTCTTTGATTTTAGAATTACTTATAATAGTAGAACACTGCATCATATACAGAACTCTTGATCAATAATCTTCTAGTTACAATTCATAACCAGTTATCTTTCTAAACAAACTATTTACAAATGTAAATTTGCAATATTGTTTAAAATAAATATACAATATATAGTTTCTACATTCTCAGACAAGCTTAAAAATGAGGTAATAAAAACTTAACTGATTAAACCTTTACCATTCTGGAAATGGCTTAGGAAAATGATGGCAAACTTTTTTTTTTCCCCCTTAGGTCTCTTCATGTTTTCTTTGAATGCTTCTGAGTATCTCCTTTTCTATGTTGAAAAATTATGTAAAAAATCCTTAAGCTTCGTTGGATAGTCTGTCATCACCCCAGTTGCTCCCAAATCAAAAGCTCGTTTGTATTCTTGTTCTTCATTTAATACCCAAATATACACCTGAAAATTAGAAGCATGAGAAGTATGAGAAGAAATGTTAAAATAGAAAATTATTTTTATAATTGCATTTATACACTACAATCTCAGCAGACCTAGAAACAACCTTCTAAACATGTAATTTTAAAAAATTATTGATGGGGCGCCTGGGTGGCTTAGTTGGTTAAGCGTCCGACTTTCGCTTAGGTCATGATCTTGCGGTTCGCGGGTTCGAGCCCCGCGTCGGGCTCTGTGCTGACTGCCAGCTCGGAGCCTGGAGCCTGTTTCAGTCTGTGACTCCCTCTCTCTCTGACCCTCCCCTGCTCACGCTGTCTCTCTCTCTCCTATAAATAAATAAATTAAAAAATATATATATAAAAAATTATTGAACCCTTTAAAAATATTTTACTTTACTCATTAAATGTACACTGTCCCGCCCTTTGGCTTCAGCTAATCTCTCCTGTATACATAAGGGGACTCCACTTACTGAAATACCAATGCTTTCTTATCAAACATAAGGCAGAACTTAAGGTTTTCATATGTGAACCAGTAAAGCAGCAGCAGCAGAGCTGGGCCCAAATTAAGTCAGTTAAAAGTTCCTGCCCTTTACACTTGTGTTATACTGGTGAGCCACACTGTTTCCAAAATGCGTCATTCCAGAAACTTACCTGAATGCCTCTGGCAGTGAGGTGGTCAAACAAGGCTTTTCTCATTAGCAAGCTAGAAAAGAAAAGCAGAACCAATTTAGTTATTTCTTAGCTCTAACAAAGGACTATAATCAGTTCTTAGACCTAAATTAGTCTAACATTCAGAATTATAATTCCTACTTAAATTTAATCCCAATGCTATAACACAATGGCCTCAAGTGGCCTCACAATAACTACTGTGAATACATTTATGTCTTAACTGCTGCGTCTCCTTTCACTGCTGGCTGCCTGCTGGTGGACAACCAGAACCTGCTTTCTGTTCCTTCCGTAACTAGATCCTCAAGAGACCCATTCTTATTGAAGCCACTCAGTAGAGAAGAGGCTTCTTGTATTTCCCTGTTGACACCATAATGAGAGTCAGAAAGAGCTGAGAAGTCTGTTTCTAACTTTCCAAGTTAAAATAAGGTAGTGGACTTGGGCCAAGTTCTATAATATCATAATTTATTTACATAATGGACTGGTCTTTCAAGTCCAATCTTAGAAATCTAACGTTTGTTAATTACACTATATATAAGAAAACCTCCTTTTTCAGAGTTCTAAATAATTGACTTAAAAGTGAACACTTAGAATACAAATCACTTGAGCATGATGGGAATGAACTATATGGGAAAGTTATACATATTATTTCTATTCTGTTTATGTCTATTAGAATGATTAACAGAAACGAAACATAACAGCAACATTGTGGTATTTATCTAAAATTAAACTCAACATGTCTTAGAAATGAGAGTATTTTCTTTGAAGTAGATGCCCACCCTGCAGGTGGGGCTTCCTTTCTGCTATTAAATCTTGGTGCAAATTTTTCTGGACAAATGTGCCACTAGTCAATATATACTTTTACATACAGTGTATTGCTATACCCACTTCTTTCACCAACTCTTTCTTTGACTGCAGGTTACTGAAAACAGCACAAACAGGTGGAAGGGGATGGCTATATATACCAGCTCTGCTACTAACTAGCTAGATCACCCTAGGCTGATCATTTACTTTTGGGAAGGAGGGCACTCAGTTTTCTCCTGAAGCTGGATGAGATTGTCTCTCAAGATTCCTCTTACAGTTTTCTGACTAGTAGTTAAGGTAGTTCTAAATAACTCATATACATCCACCTGTGGAGTAGGTGCTCAATATGTTGTTACAAATCATATGCAGAAAGCTTCCTCTAAATTATAAACATAGTACTTAAAAGATATAGCTAAAGCAATAACTTGCATATCAAAAAACTAAAATTCTTACATATCAGAAAGCCAGATGAGAAATTTTTGACTTCTGGACATAGTGTGTGGTTCTTTTAGCCTGAAGCAAAATAAAAATTTGAAACATACATTAGAAACACAGGAAGGCATCAGTGTGATAAAATAAAATGAGTCCAAAAACAAAAACAGTGCCTTGCACTTAGTATGTGCTCAAAAAAATTTTATTTAAAAAACAAAGTCAATTAAAATAAAGCCCATTTGGGTCTCTGTTTCTATTGTTTGAGCTATTTGTTTTTTGCTACCACTACCAAAAGGTAACAAAAAATAATGAAAGTTATCTTTCCAGATCCTGGGTGCCTGGGGTTCATATGTTTTCTCTTTTTTGGTGAAGCCTTTCTCACTGTATCTGCTATTACTGAGTATACAGTAGATTTAGTATATGTGCTACCAAAGCAAGCACATACAGTATACAGTAGGTGTAAACATACAACCAAGCTTTACTACAAATTAAAAGACATATGGAGTAAAAATGAGACTAAAAAGATCCTGAAAGCATGTTTTTTCTTCCCTTTTCAATATTTAAAGACTTGGGTACTGGTTTTTTTTTTATTTTTTTAGTTTTTTTTTTTTTTTTTTTAGTTTTTATTTAGTGTCCAGTTAACACACAGTGTAATATTAGTTTTCAGGTGTACAATATAGTGATTCAACAATTCCACATATCACCCAATTCTCATCACAACAAGTGCTCTTTAATCCCTATCACCTATTTAACCCATCCCCCAACCCCTTTCTGGTAACCATTGAATTGTTCTCTATAGTTAAGAATCTGTTTCTTGGTTTGCCTTTTTTTCCCCTTTGTTTTGTTTCTTTTCCCCCCCCAAATGTTTAAATATTTACTTATTTTTGAGAGAAAGAGTGTGTGAGCATGAGTGGGGGAGGGGCAGAGAGAGATGGAGAGAGAGCAACCCAAGCAGGCTCCCCACTGTCAGCGCAGAGTTGGACATGGGGCTTCAACTCACGAAACATGAGATCACAACCTGAGCTGAAATCAAGAGTCAGTTGCTTAACCGACTGAGCCACGGAGGTGCCCCGTTTGTTTTGTTTCTTAAATTCCACAGGGTGGCGGGGGGTGAGGGGGGATCATATGGTATTTGTCTTTCTATGATGGATTTTTTTCACTTAGCATACTACTACTGTATCACCTTCTTTATCCATTCATCAGTATATGAACATTTGGGCTGTTTTCCATCATTTGGCTATTGTAGGTAATGTTGCTATAAACATCAGGGTGCATATATCCCTTTGAACTAGTATTTTTGTATTCTTTGTAAATACCTAGTAGTATGATTCCTGCATTGTAGGGTAGTTCTATTTGAGGAATCTCCATAACGTTTTCCAGTGGCTTCACCAGTTTGCATTCCCACCAATAGTACATTAGGGTTAGCCTCTTTCTCCACATCTTCACCACCACCTGTTGTTTCTTTAGATTTTATTTTAGCCATTCTGAAGGGTGTGAGGTGATATCTCATTGTAGTTTTGATTTGCATTTCCCTGATTAGTGATGTTGAGCATCTTTTTAATGTGTCTGTTGGCTGTGTGTCATATGTCTCCTATGAAAAACGTCTACTCATATCTTCTGCCTATTTTATAATTGGATTATTCATTTTTGGGGTGTTGAGTTTTATAAGTTCTTTATAGATTTTGGATACTAACCCATTATCAGATATGTCATTTGCAAATATCTTCTCCCATTCCGTAGGCTGCCTTTTAGTTTTGCTGATTGCTTGCTTCACTGTGCAGAAACTTTTATTTTGATGAAGTCTTAATAGTTTATGCTTTTGTTTCCCTTGCCTCAGAAGACATATCTAGAAAAAATTGCTATGGCCAATGTCAAAGAAGTTACTATCTGTGTTCTCTTCTAGAATTTTTATGGTTTCGGGTCTCAGATGTAGGTCTATAATCCCTTTTGACTTTATTTTTTATGTATGGTGTAAGAAAACGGTCCAGTTTAATTCTTTTGCATGTTGCTGTCCCAGTTTTAATAGCACTACTTGTTGAAGACATATCTTTTTCCCATTGGATATTCTTTCCTACTTTGTCAAACATTAATTGACCATATAAATGTAGGTTCATTTCTGGATTTTCTATTCTGTTCCATTGATCCATGTGTCTATGGTACTGGTATGTGCCATACCAGTATGTTTTGATTACTGGTATATTTTGATTACTACTGCTTTGTAATATAAGTCCAGAACTGTGCTGCCTCCAACTTTGTTTTTTTTTTTTCTTTGGCTATTCAGGGTCTTTAGTGGTTCCACAGAAATTTCAGGATTGTTTGTTTTAGCTCTATGAAAAATGCTGTTGGTATTTTGTTTAAAATGTTTTTTTGTTTTTTTTTTTTAATTTCTAGGAGAGAGAGAGAGAGACAGCATGAGCAGGGGAGGGTCAGAGAGAGAGGGAGTGACAGACTCTGAAACAGGCTCCAGGCTCTGAGCTGGCAGTCAGCACAGAGCCCGATGCGGGGCTCGAACCCACGAACTGCGAGATCATGACCTAAGCAAAAGTCGGACACTTAGCCGACTAAGCCACCCAGGCGCCCCAAATGCTGTTGGTATTTTGATAAAGATTGCATCGAATGTACTGATTGCTTTGGATAGTATAGACATCTTAACAATATTTGTTCTTCCAATCCATGATGGGAAGTCTTTCCATTTCCTTCTGTCCTCTTCAATTTCTTTCACCAGTGTTTTATAGTTTTCAGAATACAGGTCTTTCACCTCTTTGGTTAGAGTTATTTCTAGGCATCTTACTGGTTTTGATACAATTATAAATCGGATTGATTCCTTAACTTCTCTGTCACCTCATTATTGGTGTATAGAAATGCAACAGCTTTCTGTACACTGATTTTGTATCCTGTGACTTTGTTAAATTCATTTATCAGTTCTAGTAATTTTTTGGTGGAGTCTTTCAGGTTTTCTATATAGAGTATCATATGATCTGTAAATGGTGAAAGTTTTACTTCTTCCTTACCAATTCAGATGCTTTTATTTCCTTTTGTTGTCTGATTCCTGTGGCTAGGACTTCCAGTACTATGTTGAATAAAAGTGGTGAGAGTGTACATGCCTGTCTTATTCTTGACCATAGAGGAAAAGCTCTCCGTTTTTCCTCATTTAGGATGATATTAGCTGTGGGTTTTTTATATACGGCCTCATTATGTTGAGGTATGTTCCCTCTAAACCTACTCTGTTGAGGGTTTTTATTTTGAATGATGTTGTACTCTGTTGAATGCTTTTTCCCATCTATTGAAATGATCATGATTCTTATCCTTTCTTTTGTTAATGTGATGTATCATGTTTGATTTGAGAATAGTGAATGTAGGCCCTGTTTGTTTTTTTTTAAATTATCTTTTCTACTGAAAGAGCATACTTGACCTTTAGACCTACACTGAGTTCCTTCTTCAATTTCCTCGATGCCAAGAGCAGAACAACTACCTGTGTCATTAACTTGGCATTGTACCCAAAGCAAATCTCTGGTTAGCCTCTCTATACTATCTCTATACTATGATGACTTCTCAGCTTCTAAGTTTAATAGCACATAGTGATTTTCATTCTCTCCAGATCTTTACTTCTTGTTTCCTTTTTAACTTCCCCTGTCTATACTCTTAGAATATTTCTGAGTCTCCACACTTAAATTCACTCTTTTCTTTCTCTCTGAATTCAGCTTTTATTAGAAGCTCTCCGAATAAAATCCCCTTTCCTCTAACTCTAGCCTATGTAGGAAGTACTGGTTGCAGTTTCAGGAATTTCAAGGATTTAGTATCTCAAACATTAATTAGCTCATTAAACAAATTATTATGTTGTCTTAGGAAGCACCCACTGTGATACGTAAAAAATAAAATGAACATACACACACACACAATATTCTACCTTGTCTTAATCCACATTTTTTTAGAGAAAAGATTAATTCTATGAAGTTTGTTCATATGTCTGTATTTCAGTAATACCTATATCAAAAAGAAGCACGTGCATATAATCTAGAGAGCACATAGTTCATGCCAGGCCAGAGGAAACCTAAGTACTTTAGGAATAAATGGTTAGCAATAATTTTAATCCAGCAAATGAAAATGGTTTCTTTGTAGGCAAGAAGTGATTTATGTTTTGTTTGATAAATAGCTACAAAAAACTGCCCATAAATATAATTGGGAATAGGTAAAATAAACATGCTCATCACGAAGAAGCTCAAATTGGAAAACAAGCATGAAACATAGATGCTAAATACAAAGGTACCAACCAAACTGTTTTTCTTACCAATATTTCCCAATCACTGCTGCACTAATGTTCAGCTTGATTTTTTAAAGTTCTGTTTGGGGATGAAAAGAGTTTCCATGCAAGTGAGATCACATTTAATTTTATTTTTAAGTAATCTCTAGGCCCAATGGGGGTTCAAACTCACAACTCTGAGATCAAGAGTCACATGCTCCACTGACAGAGCCAGCCAGGTACCCCAGACGACATCACATTTAAATGATCTCCCCCAAGAATTCCAAATTCCTTTGTCATGACTCTGACTATTATAAATTTACAGCTAGAAATGACATTCTAATGGTGCAGGATTATGAGATAAAGCTATCTTTTTCTGATAGTAATGATAAACACAATTGAACAATAAAAGCTATAATTTATTAAGTGCTTATTATCTGCCAGGTGGTGCTAAATGTTTTATATATTTTTATCTTTGCAGTAAATAAGTGTGTGAAAAGCAAGGCTTTGTGCCCAGGAAAGAGATTACGTAGATATAGAAGTCTCTATTATAAACGAACACTATCCTTTTCTGTCTCCTATCTCCCAGAGCTTTTTTTGGTTGTTGTTACAGTGGTGGTAGTTTTTCTGCCTCAATGTAATAATAATAGTGGTGAATTTGGAGTTTAATGGAATTCCCACGTCCTATTGTGAACAAAGTACAAGCACGTTAGGGAAGGTGGAGGGCAATTGCTATTACATGTTAGTGTAAAAGCTTCAACAATTAAGCTCAATTCTTTGTATCTGACTTCTGAGTACACAGGCACATAAAGTCATTGATACCTGAAAAGGGTCCAGATTAAATATTTATAATCCTAAATTGTTCATTTTAGAAAAATATGTCTTAATTATATCAAAAGTCATTATTAATATAGGTCAGTTAATCAAACATGTAAAAAACTACAGCAATCTATTCTTATTCTTTTTTTTTAACGATTTTATTTTTTTTAATAAAATGTGGAACTCAGACTTACAATACCAGTATCAAGAGTCACATGCTCAGGGCACCTGGGTGGCTCAGTTGAATGGATATCCAGCTTTGGCTCAGGTCGTGATCTTGTGGTTTATGAGTTTGAGCCCCGAGTTCAGCTCATTTCTGTCAGCGCAGAGCATGCTTTAGATCCTCTGTCCTCTTCTCTCTCTACCCCTCCCCCACTCATGCTCCCTCTCACTCAAAAATAAATAAAACATTAAAAAGCAAAGAAGAGTCACATGCTCTGCCAACTGAGCTAGCCAGGTACCCCTACAGCAATCTATTATTTGTCACTGATATTGATATTAATGAGCCTTGATCTTAGACCCCTATACTAATAGTTGATGAAAACAGAGTAACCACTTACTTCAATATGATTGAAGGCATTGGGATTTCAAAAAACTGTTCTCGAATGGGCACAAAGGGCAAAAGACCAGTGAAGAACAGGCCAAGAATAAGCAGAACACGTTGTAGACTGAAGAGTATAGGAATATCTGAATTCTAAAAGATACAAACAATATTATGTTACTTTATAACTGCTCAAATAAAGAAGATTATTTCACATCCTCAAAATTTCCAGGACTATATCTGGACACTTGTTAAAAGCACTCCCTGAATTATCAATATCCATCTCCAAACACACCACATTTAAAAAACGGTTGGTCCTTGACAAATGGGTTAGGATCTATCTTGGAGCCCTATAGCATTAATTGATAATATTAAAGTTTCCCTATTCCGTAATCTCTGTTTTTGCACCACCACTTCCGTCTGTTGGTGACAGTGTTTATTGCTAGAGATCAAGCACACTAAATCTAACAGAACAAGATAAAGAAATGAAGATATGAAACATTCAGTAACCTTTCTGCCAGTTAAAAAACATGTAACTGAAGATCAATATATATTCATATATATCTATATATAGATATATAGGTATCCCTATCTATAGATATAGTTATACATTATTTAAGCAAGTTATGATATTGATATGAACATCTATAGATAAAAATATATTAGCACTGTTACAAATATGTCATCTTTCAGCTACATTATGGATCAAATAAAAAAATATTTTGTAAGCTAGTCCAAGAATCTAGCCACCATTTTAGGTTTCTACTGGAAATGTGATCAAGATTCCAAAACCCGTAGAATGCAAGCTTCATATAGATATGAACTCTTTTTATCTTGCAAAACTGAAACTCTATGCCTAGTATACAACTCCCCGTATCCTCCTCTCCCTAGCTGTTCCTATATTTGTCTTTAAAACAAATAGAAATTATGGTGAGCTAATTTTTTCTATACAAAAGTAATATATTGAAAAACTTATGCAAAAAAGTAATTTATTTTATTATTTATTTATTTTTAATGTTTTTATTTATTTCTGAGAGAAAGAGACAGCATTAGCAGAGGAAGGTCAGAGAGAGAGGGAGATACAGAATCTGAAACAGGCTCCAGGCTCTGAGCTAGCTGTCAGCACAGAGCCCGATGCGGGGCTCAAACCCACGAACCGTGAGATCATGATCTGAGCTGAAGCTGGATGCTTAACCGACTGAGCCACCCAGGTGCCCCTATTTTATTTTATTTTTTAGCAGGCTCTACACCAGCATGGAGCTCAATGCGGGACTTGAAGTGACATCAATACCTGAGCTGAGATCAAGTCAGGTACTTAACTGATTGATACACCCAGGTGCCCCACAAGTAATTTATTAAAAAAATTTTTCTAATGTTTATTTATTTTTGAGAGAGAGAGACAGAGTACTAGAAGGAGGGGGCAGAGAGAGAGGGATACACAGAATCATAAGCAAGATCCAGGATTTGAGCTGTCTGCACAGAGCCTGACGCAGGGCTCGAACCCATGAACCGTGAGATCATGACCTGAGCTGAAGTTGGATGCTTATCCAACTGAGCCACCCAGGTGCCCCGCAAGTAATTCCCCTTAAATATTAGCTCTAAACTACCCACTTCTTTATTAAAAAATAAAAAAGAGAATAAATAAGTTTGAGCATCTCTTCTGTCTCTATGTTCATATGTCTCTTTGTAATATTTTAGGTTTATTTATATACAGGTGTTTCAGCTGTAACACAATGTACAGGTCCCTGAAAAAATTGATTTATGCAAGTTCATCCACTGAAAATAACAGAACATATGGGAAAAACAGGGTTAGGGGATGACCCTCAAAACTTATACAGCTTTGGACCCAGAAAACTACAAGCAATAACTGGTACTTCTGGGAGCTGTGCAAGGCTGGTGGTGGTGGTGCGGCGGGGCGGGGGGGTGGGATTGGTATGCCGGCACCCCACCGACATAATAGCTGGTGCCACTCTGTATCTTCTAAATTAGAATATCTGGAGACTTTGCCATTTGCAACAACATGGTTGGACTGAGAGGGTATTATGTCAAGTGAAATAAGTTAGACAGAGAAAGACAAATACCATATGATTTCCCTCACATGTGGAATCTAAAAAACAAAATGAATAAACAAACAAAAAGCAGAAACAGATCCATAAATAGAGAGAACAAACATCAGGTTGTCAGAGGGGAGGGGAATGGGGGAATGTGTGAAGGAAAGTAAGAGATACAGGCTTCCAGCTATGGAGTGAACAGCTCATGGGGATAAAAGGTACACCATAGGGAATGGAGTCAATGGTATTGTAATAGTGTTATATTGTTGACAGATGGTAGGTATACCTGTGGTGGGCACAGCATAAAGTACCGATTTGCGAGTCACTGTTGTACGCCTGAAACTAATATTACATTGTGTCAACTCTATTTGGGTTTTTTTTTTTTTTAATGTTTTTACTTATTTTTGAGAGAGAGAGAGAGAGACATCATGAGCAGGGGAGGGTCAGAGAGAGAGGGAGACACAGAATCTGAAGACAGGCTCCAGGCTCTGAGCTGTCAGCACAGAGCCTGACGTGGGGCTCGAACCCACGAACCGAGATCATGACCTGAGCTAAAGCCGGACACTCAACTGACTGAGCCACCCAGGCACCTCGTGTCAACTATATTTGAATAAAATAAATAGAATTTATGGAAATGGAACCTAGGCATTAGTATTTTTATTTAGGATTTAGGATTCCAATATCCAGCTAACTTTAAGAACCACTGAATTAAGTGGGGGCACCCAGGTGGCTCAGTTGGGTGAGCATCTGACTTCAGGTCAGATCATGACCTTATGGTTCCTGAGTTTGAGTAAGAATTGGGTAAGCGAGTGCCCTGTATCGGGTAAACACAAGCCCCGCTTTGGGTGAGCCCCACTTCTTTCTCTGTCTCTGCCCTTCATGGGACACTCTTTTTCCCTCTCTCTCAACACCCTTCTCACTTGTACCTGTTCTCTCTCAAGAAAAAAAAAAAAGATTCTCTCTCTCTCTCCCCCCTCGTTCTCTCTCTCTCTCAAAAAATAAAAACTAAACACTTCATTAAGAATGAATTAAAAGTCACTAAGTGGGAATAAGCTCTACATGGTTTCCTGTCACCACTGTGTGCCCCCCTTTTTTTTATTTTTATATTTTTAGTTGCTAGCATTTGGGAATTAAAGGGCTAATGTAAAATTCTTATAAATCATACTTTAAGAATTGTAAAAGATGCATGACTTAATTATATGGCATGTTCATGATATGAATAACAAATATTTTGAGACATTTTTACTATGATGTCTGAAAATTACTGCTGGAAGTTTTGGAGTTTTTAAATGCTAAAATGACAGAAAGCCAGAGGCTTCTAAAAAAAGAAGTGAATCAAAGGAAAAGCTCTATGATTATGGGTCAAAAGTAGACTTTTTATTTTGAAATAATAGATTCACAGGAAGTTGAATCTCATGTGCCCTTAACCAAGCTTCCTCAAATGGTAACATCTGACATAACTGTAGTGTAAAATCACTATACTGGTATATATCACTGTTAATTTAGACTATAGACCTTATGCAGTTTTTGCCTTTTTAAAAATCTGCATTCATCTGTGCATGTGTTTGGGTTAGTGCAGGTTTAACAATGTACTGATTTGTGTAACTACCACCACAGTCGTGAATATTACATAAATAGAATCATATAGTATGCAACCATTTTGTTTTGTTTTGGCTTTTGTTTCTTTAGGTTTTTATTTTAATTCCAGATAATTAACATACATTAGTTTCAGATGTACAATGTAGTGATTCAAGTATGTAACCTTTTGAGGTTCCTTTTTTCCAATAACTGAAGTGTCTTTGAGGATGAGGATGGCCCAGGTTGTTGCGCATATCAGCAGTTCATTTCCCTTTATGGCTGAATAGTATTACATCATATGGATGGGCCAGTTTGTTTAGCCATCTAAGCACTGAAGGTCATTTTGGTTGGTTTCCAGGGCTCTGCTATTATAAATAAAGCTGCTGTAAACATTCATAGACAGGCTTTTATGTGCATAAGTTTTCATTTTTCTGAGATAAATGTCCAAGAGAGAGATTGCTGGTTAACATGATAAGTGTATGTTTAGTTTGTAAAGAAACTACCCAATTCAGTAAGAGAGTGGCTGTAGTATTTTACATTCCCACTGACAATGTAGGAGAGATCCAGCTTCTCCTAATCTTTTCCAGCATTTGCTGTTATCACTATTTTTTATTTTAAGAATTTTTTACAGATTTTATTTATTTTGAGAGAGGGCACACATGAAGAGAGGAGGGGTAGAGAGAGAGAAAGAGAGAGAATCCTAAGGAGGCTCTGCACTGTCAGAGCTTGATCTCACTAACTGTGAAATCATGACCTGGGCCGAAAGCCATGAGTCAGAGACTTAACAGACTGAACCATTCAGGCGCTCCTATTTATTTATTTTTTTAAAAAAATTTTTAATGTTTATTTATTTTTGAAAGACAGAGTGACAGAGCATGAGCAGGGGAGGGGCAGAGACAGAGGGAGACACAGAATCTGAAGCAGGCTCCAGGCTCCAAGCTGTCGGCACAGAGCCCGATGCGGGGCTTGAACTCACTAATTGCGAGATCATGACCTAAGCTAAAGTCGGCTGCTTGACCGACTGAGCCACCCAGGCGCCCCCTAATTTTTATTTAAAAAAAAATTTGAGGGGCACCTGGGTGGTTCAGTCAGTTAAACCTCTGACTCTTGGTTAAGGCTCAGGTCATGATCTTGCAGTTTGTGGGATTAAGCCCCACGTCAGGCTCTGCCCTGATAGCACCTCTCCTACTTGCACTCTCTCAAATACATAAACAAATAAATAAAAATTTAAAATGTCAATAATACAGTCACTTTTAATGACATGTGATTAATTATGGAAAAGTCCTAGTCCTAAATTCTTGATGAAACCATTCATCCCAATGGTTACTCTGTTTTCTCCTTTTGTACACAAGCTACGTTGGGATCTCGGAGAAGCTGTGGCACATAAAAAAATTACTTGCCTTAATGAGGGCTTCAACTGGACTTTTAACGTAATGGTCCCAATTCTAGATCTATGTTTTTGCCTTTTTTTGTGAGGAAGAAAGGCCCTCCCCAAAGAAAACCTTGTGTTTTGAATTGCTACTTGTATCACAATATTTTTCTGCACTATCACTTATATTTTAAAAGAGAGGCTTTAATGTTTAAGGTTTTTTAATATTTTGAATTTCACATTCTCCTAGCTACACTTGCTATAGTATATAAGTACATAAGCTATACTTATTGAAGCTGTAGTATAGAGCTAAACTTGCTTATAGAGACTTAGCATACCATGTCAAGATATATCAATATCACTTTTTATAGATCTACTTTCTTCAAGCAGAAGGATCTCAGTAGATAGCCCTACTTTTATATACCACCTGATAATTATGATCCTGGATTAATTTGATTAATTCCATTTGGGAGGCAGGGAACAGAGAAGCTTGAGCTATAGAGTTGAATGACTAAATACTTTTCCTTAATTCAAAATTACACAGAAAATTTAAATAACCTAACTCCTCCAAAAAACCCCAAAAAACCCACCACACCAGACATTAAAAGACAGGAATTATATTTTGTTTCATAATGTACATAATAAAGTATTGGCAAACAACTAATATTAGCATGTGAAAATAAGAATTCTGTGAGCCAGCCCAAGTACACTGAACTTAAATTGTAAGATCCATTATTTCTATTAAATCCATTATTAGTAAACTTCTGGTTAGGTGCTTCTACCCAGTACCAACTGTCTTTGTATCAAGGCTTTGAAAAAGGTAATTTAAAAAATTATTATAGTAAGGCCATGTATAGATATACAACAACAGCAAGAAAGATCATTCTGTATCATTTCTGAAGCTTACCTCTTTGTAGCACTTTTCTACAATTTCATAACTGGCATTGCCCCACACTGTTATGTGTTCTCGTCTGTATTGCTTCACCAACTCTGAAACCTACATGCGAAAATTCAAAAAGTTGATGCATGTGCCTATTTGTAAATCCATTTACATTATCTCACTTTAAAAATGGATTACAATTGACTTTCTGCCAGTGAGTCACATAAACTTTAGGAAGAATATATGAATTCAGATTATTTTACAAAATATAAGCAATTATTTACATTTTACCATTATATGATTTATCTAAGAGAGTACAACTATTTAGTCATTTGACATAAACTAATTACAAACAAAACAAGTTAAATCTGAAGAAGTTAATTGCCAGAACAGTTGGTTCACAGGAACTTACTTTTATGCATGACTGAGGCAGGACAACTATCTCTGAAAACAGGCTTTCCTACAGTAAAGTGATCTCTTCTACCAGGGCATTATTTAAAACAATACTGATCCCTAGAGTATCACATTTCCTTGAACAGAATTGAAGTCACCTACTCTAGCCTTATTTAGTTTGTGAAATGGGATACAACACACCCAGAAGAGGCAATGCCTTAAGTACCTTCTTAATCAGCACATTGTTGTTGACTTTGATATCGATGTTAATGGGAGTATTAGGAAAGGCTTCAAATACTTCCTTCAGTAATGGAATTCGGTTATCTTTTCCTTCACACTGGCATGCTGAGAAAGCAAGATTTTTAAAGGTATTTTTAAAAGATAACTTTCACTTTTTTGATGATTAGGAAAAAAAGATAAAGTATGGTTCTCACAATAGTATGTATTCATAATAGGGCATTTACAAAATGATGAAAAGTATGAAGAAAAGAAAAATCATCTAAAATCCAGCAACTTAGATATAACCATTATGACCATTTTTATCCCATGCATAGTTTTTAAAGGTTTTATTTTTAAATAATCTTTACACCCAACATGGGGCTTAAACTCACAACCCCAAGATCAAGAGTCACACGGTCTACTGACTGAGCCAGCCCTCAGTGCCCCTTCTATGCATAAGTTAGTAAGAGTTATAATATAGGGTACCTACAGACTTAACCTGATTTTTTTACAAAAGTAAGAAATAAACGTTCTATGTTCATACACTATATTTAGAATTATGATTAAAATTTTTTTCATTAAACTTTTTGAAATAACTATAGATTCACTTGAAGTTATAAGAAAAATAGAGATCTGTGCACTTTTTGCCCAAATCTCTCAATGATAACCTCTTGTAAAACTATACAACAATATCATAACCATGACATTGATATTATTAATCCACCAATCTTATTCTATTATTTTGAGAGAGACAGAGAGAGAATCCCAAGCAGACTCTGCACTGATAGCGGGGCTCAAGCTCATGAAACCAAGAGATCATGACTCAAGCTGAAATCAAGAGTCGGGCACTTAACTGACTGACCCACACAGGCGCCCCTTAATTATTTTTTTTAAGTTTTATCTATTTATTTTGAAAGACAGAGAGAGAATGAGCAAGGGAGGGGCAGAGAGAGAGAGAGAAGAGAGAGAGAATCCCAAGCAGGCTCGGTACTGTCAGCACACAATTCGATGCAGGGCTCAAACTCACAAACCATGAGATCATGACCTGAGCTAAAATCAAGAGTCAGAAACTCAACTGACTGAGGTACCCAGGTACCCTGTCCCTTAATTATTTTAATTTAACTATTCCCACAGAAAAGTAACAGAGTTTACCACTTCAAAATATAGCAGTTTGACATTAGGATTATTTTGAACTGAAGGCAACTGAGATGAAACAGCTATAAGAAAATCTCAGGGGGCACCTGGGTGGCTTAGTCGGTGGAGTGTCCAACTTTGGCTCAGGTCATGATCTCAGGTTCCTGGGTTCGAGCCTTGCGTCGGGCTCTGTGCTGACTGCTAACTTAGAGCCTGGAGCCTGCTTCCGATTCTGTGTCTCCCTCTCTCTCTGACCCTCCCCTGTTCACACTGTCTCTCTCTCTCAGAAATAAATAAAAAACATTAAAAAAAATTTTTTTAAAGAAAAAAAAGAAAATCTCAGTCCTTTCCCATTTGCCTAGAAACAAGATTTAATTTTGTGCAAAACATAATCACCAACAATCTTAGACTCTTATCAGCACCACAGGACTCTGCATAACAAACTGTTGGCTGGCGTTTTATCTTTCCTTATTGACCCTTATATCCACCTCCCCACCATTTGCCACCCTAGAAAACTCAAAATCTCTTTTTTCTTGTCATTTCTCCGAAAATTTATTGGATTTTTTAAAAGATGCTATATAAACTCAAGTTCTAGCCACCCTTTGAGTTACTCATCCCTGAGTTTCTCCATGACACACACATTAATAAGCTGTTTGTTTTTCTCTTCTTAATCTCTCTTTTGTTACAGAGCTATGCTGAGAACCTAGAGAGTAGAAGGGAAAAAAAAATGTTTCCTCCCCTATACCCTGCTAGTGGATACTGAGGTTGTTTGGAAAGTTTTGCTAAGCTATCACCATTGAAATTTTCAGAATTTGAGAATATATATGTTCAGGCAAGGGAAATACTTGCTAATTCAGTAATAAATAATTGAATCAATACGGCTACTCCAAGAAAATTGAGTCACAAAAAAATAAGAGGATTTTTGAATTATTTTTTACCTTCAGTGAGAAATATTTTCTTTATTTTTTTCTTAATATTTTTTGCCTTGAATCACTTACATAATATGCTATATAAGTATTCTTTAAGTTTATTTCTTTTTGAGAGAGAGGAAGAAGAATGTACAAGTCGGGGAGAGGCAGAGAGAGATGGGAGGGAGGTTAGAGACAGACAATCCCAGGGAGGCTATGCACTGTCACTGTGGAGCCCAATGCATGAAATCATGACCTGAGCTGCAGACACTTAACGGACTGAGCCACCAGGCACCCCTTTGCTATGTAAGTATTATAAAATCTCCCCTTCTCTCTGAAACTGCAATTCCACTACCACATGAATAACAAAATGGTAAAAGAGCCTTTATTTCATCTTATTGTACAAAGTGTATCAACAAAGTAAATTAAATCTATGTCAGAAAGTAAAAAAATTGGGGCGCCTGGATGGCTCAGTAGGTTAAGCGTCCAACTTCAGCTCAGGTCATGATCTTGCAGTTTGTGACTTTGAGCCCCATGTCAGGCTCTATGCTGACAGCTCAGAGCCTGGAGCTGGTTTGGAATTCAGTGTCTCCCTCTCTTTCTTCCCCTCCCTCATTCACACCTTGTCTCTCTCTCCTTCAAAAATAAAAATAAACAATAAAAAAAGTCAAAAAATTATTTATAATAAAAGCTCATATGAAAAGGTAGAGTGTAAATGGGGAAAAAAAAGGAAAATGTGTTACTGTTTTGTCTATTTTGTATCCCATTCCTTTTGTCTTTTTACCTTTTGCCTTGTAATTCAGATGGTGTGACTCTGGGTCATACTGACCAGCCCCTCAATCATCTGGCTCTGCCTCCCTGGCCACAAAAAGAGCACATGAATTTTAAGCATAACAATATGAACACTGGGAGAGGTCTCCTGCCTCAGCTGGATGGATCATGTGCTTTTAATGTTGTCAGAGTCAATTCTTAACTCTGTGTAGAAGGTGTGCCAGAGAACAAAGCTAACATAAATGAAACCAAAGCAAGAAATGGAGATAGAGACTAATTATTGCTTTAGCAACTGAAATCAGTTATGTCTGAAGGCATATTACCTCTAGACTTCTAAGTTACGAGAACCAAATTCTTTAAAAATATTTTTTTTGAATTATCTTGAGATGGATTTCTAGCACTTGTAACTGAGTTTAGGCTTATCATAGACTACTATCATAGAACTGTAAAAATTATGTTAATACATAAAAATTTAGCTTGTTTTTACCTACCCAGAATCCTTTCTTCCCTTGGAAAACTGCATCTCCCTTAATCCACATTGTTCTGATTAGGCTATCAAAAACAGGACCCCCTGCCAATTTACACTCCCAGGTAGCCATATGACCTCAGTCTGGTCCATTATAATGGCCCATCTCCTTGTCCAAAGTGAATATTTCAAGGATGGACACATGACGCTTGTTGGGCCAGTCATTGTCTTTTTCTGGAAATTTCCCTTGAAGCCCAAAGAGGAGACTGCCTTTTTACCCTTGGGTCAACAGGCAGGCAGGATAGAATGAGTTGTCAGTGATCATTTCCCTGCCATGAGGACAAAATCCATCTACACTGGAAAAGGGTAAGAGCCTAGAGAAGCAGAACTATGGTATGAATCAAAAAGAGTTCTTTTGTGTCCCTGGATCCTATAATGTTTAACATCAGATTCACCATTACTGTAGATAGTTAATGATAAATCTGGTTTTTACCCCTTAAGCTAATATAAACTATTTTCTGTTACTTATAATCTAAAAAGTCTGAACATGATGTTCTAGTCATGCACATTTAATATGGCAGCTACTAGCCACATAGGGCTACTTAAATTAAATTTACACTTGATCTTGAGAGGCAATAAATGAAATTTAAATAAAACTAAAAATTCAGTCTCTAAGGTGGACTAGCCACAGTTTAAGTGCTCAACACTCACATGTGGTTGGCACAAAAACAGACACTCGGATCAATGGAACAGAAGAGAGGACACAGAAATGGACCCACAAATGTATGGCCAACTAATCTTTGACAAAGCAAGAAAGAATATCCAATAGAATAAAGATATTCTCTTCAGCAAATGGCACTGGGAAAACTGGAGAGCAACATGCAGAAGAATGAACCTGGACCACTTTCTTACACCACACACACAAATAAACTCAAAATGGATGAAAGACCTAAACACAAGACAGGAAGCCACCAAAATTCTAGAGGAGAAAGAAGGCAAAAATCTCTCTGACCTCAGCTACAGCATCTTCTTACTCAACACGTCTCCAGAGGTAAGGAAAACAAAAGCAAAAACAACTCTTGAGACCTCATCAAAATAAAAAGCTTCTGCAAAGCAAAGAAAACCATCAGCAAAACTCAAAGGCAACCAACGGAATGGGAGAGGATGTTTGCAAATGACATATCAAATAAAGGGTTAGTATCCAAAATTTATAAGGAACTTATCAAACTCAGCACCCAAAAAACAAATAATCCAGTGAAGAAATGGACAAAAGACATGAATAGACACTTCTCCAAAGAAGACATCAAGATGGCCAACCACAACGTGAAAAAATGCTCAACATCACTCATCATGAGAGAAATACAAATTAAAACCACAATGACATACCACCTCACACCCGTCAGAATGGCTAACATTAACAACTCAGGCAACAACAGATGTTGGTGAGGATTGGGAGAAAGGGGATCTCTTTTGCACTGCTGGTGGGAATGCAAACTTGTGCAGCCACACTGGAAAACAGTATGGAGGTTCCTCAGAAAATTAAAAATAGAACTACCCTATGATCCAGCAATTGCACTACTAGGTATTTTTATCCGAGGAACACAGGTGTGCTGTTTTTTGTTTTTTTTTTTAATTTTTTTTAATGTTTTATTTATTTCTAGGAGAGAGAGAGAGAGACAGCATGAGCAGGGGAGGGTCAGAGAGAGAGGGAGTAACAGACTCTGAAACAGGCTCCAGGCTCTGAGCTGGCAGTCAGCACAGAGCCCGATGCGGGGCTCGAACCCACGAACCGCGAGATCATGACCTAAGCGAAAGTCGGCCACTTAACCGACTAAGCCACCCAGGCG